TACCGAACAAAGGCCTAAAACCTGGTTCCTCCCCACACCGCAACACCTGACGCACGGGGCCGAGCAGAAAAAAAAAACGGCACGTTTCCTCTCAGAGCTGTTAAAGTGGTTGTTCTGAGCTCAACCTTCATGCCAGGGTTTGGTTAGACTTCTTAAAAGGAGACGCTTGATAAAAGGCAGATAATTTTAAACCATTCATATGTAAATGCATGTACGCATCCGGAAAACTGAGCAAAAGAAGAAAAAAGAAAGAAGTTTTTTTTTTTCCTCTGTCTTTTTTTAGATCGCTCCTCAGAACTCTGGGCATTGTAAAAAAAATTGATGTTTTTCGGTTTATTTATGAAAGCATCAAGACTGTGAAAGAACTTTAACTGCGGAATAATGAAGACGCAAATCAACACCAGATATAAACTCTCTCCCTCTCTCTGTGTGTGTGTGTGTCACACATATATATATATATATATATATACATATATATAAAATACATATATGCATACATGAACCTGCATCGTCCTACACAGTTCACAGCAAATTTTTATGATTTTCAAGCTTTGGTGATTAATGGATGAGCATAAATAAATAAATAAATAAATACATAATAAGCATAAAGTCAATCATGGAAAATTACCATATCTATATATAACCTTGCGATATCACAGCATAGGTATATATTTTTATATAAAGATAAAAATGCTTGTATAAAAGTCTAGCTTATATATATATATATATATATATACAGTTGAAGCCAGAATTATTTACCACCCATTTATTTTTTTCCCCAATTGCTGTTTAATGGAGAGCAGATTTCTTTCACGCATTTCTAATCATAATAGTTTTAATAACTCATCTCTAATAACTGATTTATTTTCTCTTTGCTATGATGACAGTAAATAATATTTCACTAGATATTTTTCAATACACTTCTATACAGCTTAAAGTGACATTTAAAGGCTTAACTAGGTTAATTAGGTTAACTGGGCAGGTTAGTGTAATTAGGCAAGTTATTGTGTAATGATGGTTTGGTCTGTAGACCAACGAAAAAATAGCTTAAAGGGGCTAATAAATTTGTCCCTAAAATCGTTTTTACAAAATTAAGAACTGCTTTTATTCTAGCTGAAATAAAACAAATAAGACTTTCTCCAGAAGGAAAAATATTATCAGATATATTTAGAAAATTTCCCTGCTCTTTTAAATATCATTTGGGGGGAAAAAAATAATAATAATAAAAAAATCAAAGGGGCTAATAATTCTGACTTCAACTATATATATATATATATATATAT